TCTCTCCACAAAAGGGCAGTTCTTAGTGAGGCCTCTTTGTGGCAATCAGTACTCTTTTATCACTCCTCTTTTAAGCGCCTCTCTTCAATGGCTTCTCTATACCCTGGCACCAAATCCCTGCAAAGAAATAGTGTCCCCTTCAGAAAGAGGCTGGTGCTGTTCTGTCAAAGGAAAAGGCAGCAGAGAAAGAAGACACGTTGAGATCAGTCTCTTTCTCTCCACTCAGTACTAACCATCAATACCACCGTGCTGGTTAAGCATTGGGAGGAAGGAAAAACCTTCACAGTTCATACCTGTCTCACTAAGGAGGTGGAAACTGTGATTAAAACCACAGCACTATTGATGGTATGTTGATGGGCTTTCTCCAGGAGGTAATGAGTAGCTCGTCCCTAAGAAGACAGGCACAGAAAAGTCCAAACACATGTCACTTTCTAAAAGCTGATGAGCCCCTGGAGGGGAGGGGAGATGTCTCATGTCTCTTAAAGTCTCCAGCAACTTATATGATACAGTAAACTGTGTGCGTGTCTGCTCAATAAATGTCTTCCTTGAAATGACTCCACAAGTCCAGGCCTCCTCCTTCTTCCTGAACTGCACCCCTATCCCCATGATAGGACTGGATGTTGCTCCCAATCCCTTCAGCATGACACATGTCAGATTTCTACCATCAACTACTTGCTAAATACATCTTATGGGAAAAGGAGGAAACCACAGTTACAGCACTGCTTGAATTGATTTTAAGTTACTAACGATAGCAAGTGCAGTTTTCCAACAATGATTTACCAGTCAAGTCACTCTCTTAGTTTATCATGTATCTGTGAGTTACAAAGTTTCTTTTGTGCCAGTCAAAAACCTGCACCAGGTTTAACCAGGAATATTACTGCTGCTTCCAGTTAGCACAGGCCAAATCACCCGGCCACTTACAAAAGTGAATGAGTGTAAAGTAATTAGCCTCCAACTAATAAAAATAAATGAAAAAAAAAGAAGAAAAAAAAAAGTGAATGAGGCCAAATGAAATACCAATGTTAGGTACACTATTGCAGGTCTGAGGAACCAGCATCGCTACCAGTCATGTTGCTTTGAAATATTTCTGAGTCAGGATGTCACTCCTATTGTCAGGGTAGCCAAATGGTCGAGCGTCTGACCTGTTACAGAATTTAAGACACCAAACCTTTAAGTAAGACAACAAGGCAATGCACAGATAATCAATAAGATGCTGGGAGTATAAACAAGCAAAAGGAGAAAGAAAAGGTGACAGATAATTGACTTCAGACTTTCCTGGTGGTCCAGTGGTTAAGAATCTGCCTGCCAATTCAGGGGACATGGATTCAATCCCTGGTCTGGGAAGACTCCCCATCCTACAGGGCAACTAGGCGCACAAGTCCTAGGCCAGTGCTCCATAAAAAGAGAAGCCACTGCAATAAGAAGCTCTCACACAGCAACTAGAGAGAGAGCCCACATGCAGCAACAAAGACCCAGTGCGGCCAAAAAAAAAAAAAAAAATTCAGTTGACTTAGAATGATTGGCCCCTGTTCAGCTATTTGAGACCCTGACTTGCTCTGAAACAGAAAGCAGAGCAGCTCTGTGAAGCTGCTGCCACGTCCACCAGGCGGCTAACACTCTCGAGCAGTCAGTTCAGAAAGGGTGTTTATTTTGGTCTGGTCAGTAGACCGAACAGCACTGTTCTGTCCCCAGACCGGAGATTCAGTCCAAAGAGGCCTGCTCATTCCAGATATGACTAACGAGTGTCAGCTGTGAGTAACAACTCCTTGTCTCCTAAAGTCACTCTGCTGCTGGACAGGACCTAACAGCTCTACTTAGTAGTGCTGTCTTTCGCAAAGACATTAAATTTGATCCTTCTCATATCACAACTCTATATGGGTGGGAAAGCTGTAAATGATCATCTTACACCAGCTCATTTTATAGATGATGAAACTGAGAAACAAAAACACCAAGGAGAGTTGCATCTTATTCTCGATTATACATCAAATTTTGCTTAAAGTTGTCTCAGAAATTCCTTTAAGTCACCCATGAAGTACACAGTATACAATCTTTTATGTTAGAATTCACATGAAACAGATTCTTGTGCCATTAAGTAAAAAATAGCTTGTTTTTCCCCCCTATTGTCAGAGTAGATCTCTTATTTAGCTGAACCCAAATAAAGTAGGTGGCTTCACATTTAGACACCTGTTTGAAAAGTGCATCTCAACACTAGGATCTCTCAGGCGAGCGAGATTACTGAACCACTGTGAGACAGGGAGCTGAGCGCGCCAAGGGCTCAGACAGCTGTCCTGGGGCCGCCCTCCCTGCACAAATGCTGAGCATACCGCCTGCTCTATTTACAGGGTGCCTTCTGCTCGGCCCAGTCCGGTACAGCTGTACATGTATGGGCTGCATTTTTCACACTCGGGCGCAGGGCTCCGGTTTTGCAATGTCCCACCACACCCCAGGCACTTCCCACAAAACTTAAATGTTGGCTTGTTTCTCTCCCACGCCATCTTCAAGGTCTCAGTGCTTGACTGCGTGGCACCCAGATTTAGGAAAGGTATAAATAGAACATGTGAAAATCCAAGTTTCACAGAGTCCCTATTAAGACCAGGCAACATCTCAAAGTATTTCCCCTTCACTGTCCTGCTCCTTTCCACAAGGCAAGGTGTTAACAGACAGTGGGGGAAAAAAGAACTCACTCATTTGAGTAAGGCTGGGAAATGCTACGTGCAAAGTTCAGGCCGGGGAGCTGAAGAAAAGTCTCCTTTGCTTCAGGACAGTATATAGCGTTCCTTCAGGAGGAGTAACAGAGAAAGCATTTAAAATGTGGGAGAGTTTAGCAGAAAAGCAAACACCAGCACAGTATCTAGGGAGTGAACCACTCAGTGGAAATGAAAACATTATGCATGCTGCACATGCTCCATGAACCCATTAAGTACAGACAACTGGAAAACCCACACATCCTAACTTTTCTCTAGAGTCACAAAAATGAACATTAAGTAAATGAGTTAGAAAGAAGAAAATAAAACTGTCCCTTTAAACCAAAAACTGCTTAATTATCACTTAATTAACAGTAAATCAGAAGAGAGGTCTAAAGACATCAGCTGGTAACTTCAATTCATAAAATACAGTGCCAAGTAAGGTTCTTTAGTTTTTTCTTTCTTTGGGTATTTGGTTTGGGAGGTTACAGTTTAAGGATAAGGTTTCTAGTTCAATGTACTTTTTAGGTTCCCAACATCAACCCTGAAGTCTTACTTTTCACACGTGAGTAACTTTAGTAGTATTTTATGTAACCCTCCTTTTAAGGTCGGGAGTAGCAGAAAGTCTCCTTAAATCACAACAGTGATTTTCAAACTTTTTGAAAAGAAAACAAGGCATGTCTCTCAGTGGTTCTTCCCATCCCTCCGCTGCTTTGTGAGGCAAGAGTCTCGACAAAACACCCAGGGAATGTACCAGTCACTGCCCTCATTACCATCACATCCCCTAAAATCCATGGTGGTTCTGGGCTCTTCCAACACTGTATCTCAGTGAAGGCAGCCCTGCCTGAGAACTCAAAGCTCCTTTTCACTCCTGCAAGGACAAGGAGAGGGGCTCTGAAGGGTGACCAGGAAGCCGGCCTGTGTTCACTGGGGAGCAGTTTACATGGTGAAGGTCATTTCCTGGATGGCTCCCACTGGAAGTGATCCTCCTCATCGAGGTTAAGTGTCACTTCTGATGGAAGCTCTAAGTCCAAATGAGTTTCAATTACAACATATAATCATAGAGACCTAATATTACAACACCTAAATGACCCTCGCCCCCAGAGAAGCCAGTCTGGGAGAATACATCCACAAATAACAATGCTCCGTAGGTGATAAAAAAGAATCTGTCTTTGAAAACGGTTTTCTTAAGATTGTGGCATTTTGAATACTCTCAAGGATGGTAAACCTCTCTCCTTCAAGGTTGCAGTTCATTCTGTTAACAGTTCAGTCATTCAAGAGCAAACCTTGTAAGCCAGGTGGTATGATCAATGTGGATACTATAGATTTTCATCAACAAAGCGAGTGACCAAAGAATAATAACAAATTTTGCACAGTTCATAGACTTTTGCTCCAAAAGTGAGCACAGGGGGAAAAAAAAGTATTCGGACCAAAAGCAACACGTCTGGACTAGTATCTACTATTTATTGGATAATCTGCAAAGCACTGTGCTACACACCACACACATCATTTCAGCTGTTTCTCATGGAAGCCCTCTGAGGTAGGTACAGAGAATACAACAGTTTCAGAAAAATAAGCTGCTTGCCCCTGATCACACTTCAAGGTAGAAGCCAGTCCATAATATGGTCTAATCTGTCTCACATACCAGTACAACTCGACAGGGACAAAACTCATCTCCATGTATGAAAGATCCATGTTTTTCAAGAGAAGTAGAATCACTTTATCATCACAGTATCAGTGGCATCACTGTCTGAATGAAAGGTCTCTAAGCCATTCTTTCAGGTTACTGATTCTGCTAAAATGTCTTCAGAAATGGCATTATCAGCAAAGCTGCCCAACAAGCTCTCTAAAACAAAATTCCTCATCGAGGTTAAGTGTCACTTCTGATGGAAGCTCTAAGTCCAAATGAGTTTCAATTACAACATATAATCATAGAGACCTAATATTACAACACCTAAATGACCCTCGCCCCCAGAGAAGCCAGTCTGGGAGAATACATACACAAATAACAATGCTCCGTAGGTGATAAAAAAGAATCTGTCTTTGAAAACGGTTTTCCTAAGATTGTGGCATTTTGAATACTCTCAAGGATGGTAAACCTCTCTCCTTCAAGGTTGCAGTTCATTCTGTTAACAGTTCAGTCATTCAAGAGCAAACCTTGTAAGCCAGGTGGTATGATCAATGTGGATACTATAGATTTTCATCAACAAAGCGAGTGACCAAAGAATAATAACAAATTTTGCACAGTTCATAGACTTTTGCTCCAAAAGTGAGCACAGGGGGAAAAAAAAGTATTCGGACCAAAAGCAACACGTCTGGACTAGTATCTACTATTTATTGGATAATCTGCAAAGCACTGTGCTACACACCACACACATCATTTCAGCTGTTTCTCATGGAAGCCCTCTGAGGTAGGTACAGAGAATACAACAGTTTCAGAAAAATAAGCTGCTTGCCCCTGATCACACTTCAAGGTAGAAGCCAGTCCATAATATGGTCTAATCTGTCTCACATACCAGTACAACTCGACAGGGACAAAACTCATCTCCATGTATGAAAGATCCATGTTTTTCAAGAGAAGTAGAATCACTTTATCATCACAGTATCAGTGGCATCACTGTCTGAATGAAAGGTCTCTAAGCCATTCTTTCAGGTTACTGATTCTGCTAAAATGTCTTCAGAAATGGCATTATCAGCAAAGCTGCCCAACAAGCTCTCTAAAACAAAACGCCCAATGAGATGCGACTTTATTTATATTTAGTGCAAATTAACCTTATAGGACTTCAGGATGGAGCTATCCCTCTGCACTGACAAGTATAATAACATCAAGTTTTACGTTACCACTGTAGTAGCAAGACAGGGAAAAAACCTAAGCGTTCCTCAGGAGCAGATTAAATGCATTTTATAGTATATTCATTCAGTACAACCTTATGCAGCCAAAAAATGAAAACAGTTCTTTGTTCCTTCCATACTGCTATGTAATGATCCCCACCGGGGAAGACTCTGTATACAGTTTGTTATCATTTGTATAAAAACCCCCATGTATGTGTGTGTATTTAGGCACAAAATCTTTCTCAAAAGGATACAGGAAACTACCAACAATGTCTGACTCCAGTGAGAGGAACCAGGAGTTGGAGAATAATACAAATGATTTTTGTATTGACCCAGAGGAAAGTTATGTATTTAAACTTTTTTTTTACATCTGAAAAATTTTATGGACTGAGTATGCATTTGAAAAATTACAAGAGTAGTTTCTGATTGCAGGAGAAAAACACAAAGTCTTATGAGAATCACTCTAAAGTTATAATGTACATCCTTTTTTAATGCAAAAATGCAGAAAATTTCCTTTATAAACAATTTCTCATAGATCTACCATGTAATGTCAAAGGTATCTGTAATCCCATTAACTATGATTCTCATGAATGAAAAGAGCCAGATCAAACACATCTAGAAAAAGCAGGTACACTAGATTATGAAATCTACTGAAGACAAAGACCATTATTTTAAATACTTTTAAATTCCCCAATTCCTGATAGGGTTCTCAAAACAGTTTCTTGGTTAATGAATAGTAAATTGATTTATTGGTGAAATTAGCAACTATGGCGCTTCCTGATGATATAAAATCAGTAGATAATTCACAGAAATTAGCTTCCAGATTTTCATTTTAATTACTACTGTGAAACAACATAATTTAGTACCAAACGTTTAAAAACCCATTATAAATACCAGACTCTGAAACACACATTATTTGGATCTCATCAACTACACAAAATTCATCCATTTTTCTTTTGAAAAAGGTAGTAGAAATCTCATAGAATAAGGGAGAGACTACTAACTAAAGGTATGATAACTAATCGAGCACCATGATTCCATTCTCAGGACCTCCCAAGAGGCTGGAAGGGGGGATGTGAGGATGTTGGAGAAATAAGGGTTGTTCTTAATTTCTGGTCCCTTTTGTGCTGTAAGGCAATGCAAGGTCTAGCGAAAACGAAAACTGCCGAGGCTGGAGATTAAAACAAAAGCTTTTGGTTCAGACAGTAATGGAGGCCCTGCAGAACAGTAGACAGTTTATCCAGAAGGCAGTGCTGGAGTTGGCTTCAGCAACTAGGGGGTTTCTTCTTAGCATCCACGTCTTTTTTAATTTCTTCAAGTTTTTTAGCCAGGTTTGGTATCTTTGAAGAGAAAAGAGATTATCATCATTTTATGTCTACCTAGTCAGTATTTTTTCATTTCTCTTCCTCTAAAGAGAAATGGCTTAACTTTCCTCTAAAAGAAATCTGATAAACAGCGGTGTTCCTTAGCCTCATAACTGCCTAAGAAAGATCCCAAAAGTGTTAAGTTAAAACAGGCTCCCTCCCCAAAAGTCAGACCCTGAGTTCTACTTTTATATACCCACTGAACTCCCTCAATCCAGTGCCAAGCAAAGTTGTTCAGTTCAGTTACTCAGTAGTGTCTGACTCTTTGCAACCCCATGGACTGCAGCACGCCAGGCCTCCCTGTGCATCACCAACTCCCAGAGTTTACTCAAACTCATGTCCATTCAGTCAGTGATGCCATCCAACCATCTCATCCTCTGTCATCCCCTTCTCCTCCTGCCTTCAATCTTTCCCAGCATCAGGGTTTTTTCAAATGAGTCAGCTCTTCGCATCAGGTGGCCAAAGTATTGGAGTTTCAGCTTCAGCATCAGTCCTTCCAATGAACACCCAGGACTGATCTCCTTTAGGATGGACTGGTTGGATCTCCTTGCAGCCCAAGGGACTCTCAAGAGTCTTCTCCAACAGCACATTTCAAAAGCATCAATTCTTTGGTACTCAGCTTTCTTTATAGTCCAAATTTTCTTTATATTCCAAGCAAAGTTATACATGTAAACAATAAACGTGACATATATTAACAAGCACCTACCTAGAAAACCACAAGACTCAAGTTTAAGGATGACAAAGGTAATTCCCTTTGTTACACTAAAAACTTCACTACAAATCAAAAGTTAAAATCATGTCTTCTTTCCTTGTCTCCTTAAAAGAAACATTACCTTTCAGGATTCCCATTCATGGGCAGTTGTGTCACCCGATTTTCAACTTACACATCTGTAAAGTGAAGCTAATACAACTCCCTACTTCACGGAATTCTGTCCTTACATGTGTAGCACTAAATGGATCCACCTCCAAACTACTCAGTCATCTGTACAACTGGGTAGCAGGGGCTGGAAGGACTGTCCAGTGAAAAGTCTCACTTCACGTGATTTTCCACAGAACTTTAAGACTTCAACAATGTTACTCTGAGCTAACAAAAACAGCTCACGGTCACCATGAGACCACCTAAATTGATAGGCTTTTGTTCTCTTAGGGTGAAATGTAGGTCAGGTGCTTCTGTGAGTTCTATTATTTTTTCAGACAATGGAAATCTTTCTACAAAATTCAGGACTTTCCTCTCAGACCTATGGATCACCTTGTTTATGCCGGAAGGCATACTTTACTTCAACAAACACAAGTCACTATACACTAGGTACATGGAATCAAGGAAGACATGCATATGGTCACTTACGTCATAGTTTTGAGCCAGATACATTCCCACCACGTTGCCGAGAGTAAATCCAAGCTGTAAGAATAGAACAGGAAGAGTCACACTGGAGACTGAGTTCTGTGCCGCCTGATACCAACCAGACCACACGGGGCGTATCTAAGGAACTCCGGACAGTTAGAAGTCCTCAGTGCCCAGTCCAGGGAAGTGCATGGCATGAAATTCACATCTTTCGTCTATAAAACAGGCATGGAAATATCCTCCCACAAGGTTAAATAGAATATGGCAGAACTAAACACATCGACCTTACAAATACTTGGCTGTAAGTTCTAGAAACTCAAGCCAAAATCTGATTTTTGTTAAGAGCCACAGTTTGGTATTTTGTGTGTGTGTGTGTGTGTGTGNGCTTCATGAAAATCCCTCTCAGGAGACCCAGGTTCAATCCCTGGATCAGGAAGATCCCCTGGAGATGAAAATGGCAACCCACTACAGTATTCTTGCCTGGAGAATTCCATGAACAAAAGAGCCTGGTGGGCAAACAGTCATGGGGTCATAGAAAACTGGACAAGACTGAGCGTCTAACACTTTCACCCAATAATTTAAATTTTCCAACTGAACACCTAACTTCTAATTTTATAAATCTGAATTTGCAACTGGTTTTTTATCATTTTCTTTAATCACTGTTGCTCCTAATAAATACACAGCAGAGGTTAACATAGAAACATAAAGCACCGCACGTAGCACCAGTGGTCATATATGGCATGGTGGAATTGTCTTCAAGTTGGAGACGCACATAGGAGAGAGAACACAGCTGGATCCTTACTAAGCCTGAAGCTTACTAAGCTTTAAACACCCATAATTTAAATGGGTTTGTTAGTAGGATGCAAAAAAGAGACAATCAAGTCTAAACATAGACCATTTTCTGAACATTTGATTATTCAAACACAGCTTGTGAAATACTTTTATCAACGTGGCACTGAGAAGCCAAAGGATTTTTTCCACGCCCACGGGCTGAAACCAAGTAGTAAGAGGTTTTCCAAATCCATAAAGAGTATTAAATTTGCTTAAAAGAGAGGGGGAAAAATCATTTAAGAATGTCTGCTCTAACACCAAACAGAAAGAACAGAAGGTTGAAAAATTTCAAGAAAAATAAATTGTGGTTCTACCACTATCTAGCTGTGTACCTTCAGGCAAGACACTTAACCTCCTTGGTGCTATGCCAATTTGAGGCTCCTGACTTACACAAAACAAAAATCATGGGTCTCTAGACAAGTCATGAGTCTCTGGACAAGTCATCCAACTCCAGTTTCAAAATACTGCTAGGTCTACCAATGGGATATTGTAAAACTACATACATAATGTAAGAGAAGTGGTGCACTTGAAGAGAAGTTGGAGGAAAATGCATGACAGTAAAAAGCATTTGTATGTGTTCATGGAATACTCAATAGGCAAGTTTACAGAGGTAAGAAATGTTAATCAGAATAAATAAAGGATTTTAAAAAATGAAATCTCTATGTGAGGAACAGTGAATGAGAAGTTAGATGGGAGTCAGAGTTCAGAGGGTCACGAATGAGCCAGCAGCCTCTCCACAGGGCAGGAATGCTTACCTTCCTCCAGGTCAAGACCTGGAGGCCTCCTCAGTGGTCCATCTGGACGGCTGGAGGCTGTCGCCACAGTCCTCCCCATATTACATGGTCCCCCCACCCCCAGCACTCCCCGCAGAGAAGAGAAGCAGAAGGAAGGGAGTGCCTTCCTCCCAAGCTCAACACTAAATACATCATGATTATGTCCTTTCTGCAATGATTCTGAGACTCTAGGAATATGTAACTGCTTCTCACAAACATACTGAGGACAATAAATGGTAAAACACCAGAAGTTTGGGGACTGAGGCGTGACATGAGCAAAGCTACATAGAGGACAAATGGGTGAGAAGAAATCTGAGAAACACCCTCCCAAATACATCTGGCCTCTAAAGGTTTTGATTAAAGGATTGCAGTCCCTTACATACCAAAAATCAGTTTCATATCCAGCCCTGTGAAAAGATTTCAAAATGGTCTCTTTTCTTAAAGAATTTATATGATGTACACAAAGAAAAGCTACACAGTAAGTACAATAGTTACAACAACAGACAGGACCCTGAATGTAACAGATGCATGAAAACCAGAACCGGGTCATGCAGTAAGTAACAAAATGAATGATACAGAAGTGCTTCTTTTGAGAAACCATACCTGAAAGAGATCAGGGTACCTCAACTTGTTATTAGAGGCTCTAAAGATGCTAAGGAAGTGTTAAAATTTAAACTGGCAAGGGACATGACTCTGGAGAATCAAGGTACAAGACAGGAATGACAATGCGATGACCTGAATAAAAGAAATAGGCCCAATGAGAAAAGAAGATTTGAACAGAAAATGGAGAGAAATACCAGTATGGACAGCTGGGTGGGGCTAGCCGATGGACTTCAAAAACCAGCAGGCGCCTTTAGTTCTCATGCAAACTGGTAGGAAACTACTGATTGCTCCTCACCAGCAGCAACGTGATGAAAGCACCGTTCTGTCAGCATTCACCTGACAGCTGAACCCCAAAAACAGCTGAATAAACAGAGAGCAGAGAAGGCAAACAAACATGCATGGTTTTTCTTCTTAAAAACCAAGATCAATGGAATAGAATAAAGGGTCCAAGAATAAAGCTTTACATTTACGGTCATGTGATTTTCAACAAGGGTGCTAAGCAGCCAATGGGAGAAAGATGGCCTTTGCAAGGAATGATGCTGGGACAACTGCATATCCCCATACAAACAAACAAAGCTAACACCTACCTCACATCACAAACAAAACTTAACTCAAAAGGGATCAAAGACCTAAATATAACAGCTTAAACTATAAAACTCTTTTAAAAATGGATAAATCTTACTTGATCAAAATTTAAAGTGTCTGTGTTTCAAAGAATACCAAGACAGTGAAGACAACCACAGAATGAAATATGTGCACATCATGCAGCTGATAAAGGAACTGTGCTCAGAATATATAAGAAATTCTTGACTGAATGATAAGACAACCCAAATTTTAAATGAGCAAAGGATTTGAATAGACACTTCTCCAAAGAAGAAATACAAATAAACAGCCAACAAACACTCGGAAAGGTGCTCAACATCATTAGTCATTAAGGAAATGCAAGTCAAACCCACAGCAAGGGGCCTCATTACATCCACTAGGGCTACTTGAGCGAAAAAGATGAGCAAGTGCTGGCAAGGAAATGGAGAAACAGGAACATATGCTGCTGGTGGGAATGGAACATGATGCAGCCACTATGGAAAAGTCTTGCAAATCATCCAAAAGCTGAGTAGAGTTACCATCCGATGCACCAATTACACTTTAGGATATATAAGCAATAAAACTGAAACATGTATCTACACAAAAACTTGTACATGAATGTTCACAGCAGGAGTATTCATAATAGCCAAAAGGTGGAAACAACCCAAATGTCCATCAACTGGTGAATGAATTAACAAAACGTGGTGTATTCACACGATGCAATATCACCATAAAAAGGAATGAAGTACTGATCCATGCTAAAATGTGGGTGAACCTTGAGAACATTATGTCGAGTGGAAGGCAGTCAGAAAAGACCACATATTATATGATTTCACTAAAAGAAAAGTCCAGGACAGGCAAATCCAGAGAGACACAAAATGAGTGATTGTCCAGGTTGGGTGTGAGGGGAATGAGAAATGAATGCTAATGGTATGGAGTTTCTTTGGGAGGCAATGAAATATAGTTGTTGTTTAATTACTAAGTCATGTCTGACTCTCTGTGACCCCATGGAATGAAGCATGCCAGGCTTCCCTGTCCTTCACTATCTCCCAGAGTTTGCTCAAACTCATGTCCATTGTGTCAGTGATGCCATCCCACCATCTCATCCTGTCACCCCCTTCTCCTCCTGCCTTCAATCTTTCCCAGCATCAGGGTCTTTTCCAATGAGTTAGCTCTTCATATCAGGTGGCCAAGGTACTGGAGTTCAGCATCAGTCCTTCTAATGAATATTCAGAGTTGATTTCCTTTAATATTGACTGATTTGATCTCCTTGATGTCCAAGGGGTTCTCAAGAGTCTTCTCCAGCACTACAATTCAAAAGCATCATTTATTCTTCGACACTCAGTCTTCTTTACACATCTAACTCTCACATCCATACATGACTACTGAAAAAACTATAACTTTGACTATATACAGACCTTTGTCAGCAAAGTGATGTTTCTGCTTTTTAACACTCTCTAGGTTTGCCAGGGCTTCCCTTGTGCCTCAGCTGGTAAAGAATCTGTCTGCAGTGCAGGAGACCTGAGTTTGATCCCTGGGTTGGGAAGACCCCCTGGAGAAAGGAAAGGCTACCCACTCCAGTATTCTGGCCTGGAGAATTCCATGGACTGTATAATCCATGGGGTCACAAACAGTAGGACACAACTGAACAACTTTCACAGGTTTGCCATAAATATCCTTCCAAGGAGAAAGTGTCTTTTAATTGCATGTGGAGCCCATGAAAATAAAATCTGTCACTACTTCCATGTTTTCCCCTTCTATTTGCCATGAAGTGATAGAATCGAATGCCATGATCATAGCTTTTGTTGAATGTTGAGTTTTAAGCCAGCTTTTTTCACTCTCCTCTTTCACTCTTATCAAGAGGCTTTTTAAAGTTTCTCTTTGATTCCTGCAATTAGTGGTATCACCTGCATGTCTGAGGTTGTTGATATTTCTCCCAGCAATTTTGATTCCAGCTTGTGATTGATCCAGCCTGGCATTTCGCATGACGTACCCTGCATAAAAGTTAAATAAGCAGAGTGACGATATACAGCCTTAATGTACTCTTTTCCCAATTTGGAACCAGTCCATTGCTCCATGTCTGGTTTTAACTGTTGCTTCTTGACCTGCATACAGGTTTCTCAGGAGACAGGTAAGGTTAGATATAAAAATTAGATAGTGGTGATTCTTGCACAAGTCTGTGAACATACCACTAAACCCTAGACTTTAAATGAGTGAACTGTATGGTTTCAGAACTACATTTCAAAACTATTAAAGAATAAATAAATA